AAATATCACTAATTTCTTATTTACAAAATTGTTAAGAATAATCAATGAAATACAGAAAAATGTTCTTAAAGTGTATGAAACTGTTTATTGCAATTTAGCAATTACAGTAGAACCTCGATTATCCGGACTAATTGGGAATGAAGGTAGTCCGGATAAGGAAAAATCCGGATAATCGAAACAAATATTTTAATTTGTCTTTTAATGATAATACAACACGTTTTCTTTTCGATGACATATCGGTAATATTAAAAATAAATACTGTATTTAAATCGTGATCAAATTTTCAAGAAACAAACGTTCGTATTGAATTTGGACTACTACTGACCAGTGCTAACAGATTACCTATTGTTTAAAAGGTGGCACAAGAAGACGGATTTTATAAAATAAAAAGCAGTTGAAACTGCATTTTAGGAGGTGGCCCAAGTTGCCCATACGCCGCCCTTGGTCATAGAAATGATGTAATTTGGATAAAAATTATTTATAAATACGTATGTCAAATTATATTTTTATTACGACGCAAAATATATTTAAGAGTTTACGACCACTGTGCAGGGTGAGATGAAACGAAAAAAAGTTATGCATTCCATCACGTTCATAAACAGTATCGTAATTCGTCAAGTGCAAATTAGCAACTTCATATAATTTTTGTTTATTTTGAACAATCCGGATAATCGAAAATCCGGATAATAGAGGTCCGGATAATCGAGGTTCTACTGTATTTATATTAACAATTGGTTAATATTATTATTTCTTCAATTGCAAATAAGAATATGGCAATAGAACAAACAATATATGAAAAAATATATTAGGAACAATATGGCCCAGCTAGTACTTCACAGGCTATCAAAATATTTATATGTTGAATGGTAAGGCATCAGGCCACCCCTCCAGAATCCAAAATAAAAACTGGGCGATTCATTAAACGCACTAATATTTATAATGGCCAGCGCAGTTCCAGAAATATTGAGCGATGCTTGTAATCATCTTATTACACTACACTATTCTTAATGTTGGCCAAACTGTCAAAGTGTATATCGAAAGGCTGGCTCTTGTAGTGGTTACGGTAAAAAGGACAGTACCGTAAATATATTTAATAATAATAAACGTTAGAAAAAAATGTAAGGTTTTTAAAATGTTTAAATGTCAATGCTATAATATTCCAGTTTTCATAGAGAATCGCTTCTTATTTAAATAATGATTAAATAATAAGAATGGTTGACCACCAATTTAAATTTATTTTTACCTATAAGATAACTGTTACATTACAATTATGTCAGTTAAAAGTATAAAGACAAATTAAACAAAAGTAAATATATTGTTTCTACCAGATTCATGTATAAATCCAAATTATTACTAAAAAAGAATAGCTTTTCAAGATTTATATAAACCAGATTCACACAGTATTGAATAATGTTTCTGTTTAAAACAGGTCTTGGAACTTTTATCGTTAAATACTAACAAATAAATGCAACGCAATTGGATGTCAATTTGATTTTAAAATCACTTTTATCAAATATTTAATTAAGATTTTATTATATTTGATAAAAATTAATGCGAAGAGATTTTTTTTATAAAGTCAACACACCTTGGTATTAAGAAAGCATATTTATTCACCTAAACAAACGTTTTCAATCCATTCCTTGGGCCATCATCAGGTCAAAGACGTTCGAATCAATGGCTTTTCGAATAACACACTCAAATTTAAATTATGTTAGAACATATGGTGAAATCAAATTAAGTAAACTAGCGTAACGAAATTATACAATAAATAAGAAAAACAAAACAAACTGAAATAAAATACAAAATACGGTAATTCCCCACAATATAATATTTAAACATTTTTTATAGCATCCACAAAAGAGAAGTGTGAGATCTACAGATCTAGCTTAATAGATAAATGTTTAAACTATAAGAATGCAACCATTTTTCCATTGGCATGGAAATACAGTGGTGCCTCGAATAACGGACGCTGCAAATAACGGACTTTCTGTTTGACCGTTACGTGACTCGAGCAACGGACTTGCTGCGAACAACGGACTTTCCGTTCGGCAGTTAGGTGAGACGAACAATGGACTTTCTTCGAACAAGTGCGAATGATGTTTCCACTCCTTTGCCGTTGCCAATGACAATCTGCTATTTTTAGGATATATTAGTATTATTAGAATGTATTATTAGTATATCTGAAGTAGAAATGTAATGTAATATATGTTGATGATTTAAATAAACATTAAATGTAATGTAATACAGTATATGTTGACGATTCAAATAAACGAAATGTAATTGTGTAGATGCCGAGGTGGCAGGACGAAAAGAGGTTGTAAAAAACAAACGGAGCGAGAGTAGCTCGAAGAAGTGTTTAGTGATCTTAATTATTAAAGAATTATTTGTATCATATAATATGACAAGTTAAGTCATTTATAATGCATCATGGCTTCTAAAAAAACAGAAAGGTGATTTCAATTGAAACAAAGCAAGAAATCATCAGGAGTGGAAGTTGACAAAAACTTTCCTGTCGAATGGGGAGAGGTTCAGGAGTTTACCAACACTCATTATTCTAACAGAGCTGAGGCCAACAGGATCAATGATCTCTACGATGACACCTTTGTCCATCATTTCCGACAGGTGTCAGAGAAGAAAGAGAAACAGACCACCTTGCTCACGTTTTTCAAGAAGCTAGCGGGCAAAAAACAAAGGATGGAACAAGAGAAGTTGACCCTGCAAGTTCCGATAGCCTCTCCTGAATCTGACTCCGATTAAAAAACAATAAAAAAAAAAGACCCGTTGCAATGTGTAAAAAGTCTGTATCTGTATGAATGTGTAAAGAAAGTGTTCTCTACCTCCTCCTCACAACATCTGACTACCCGGCATAATTGGTGTCTGCTCCATTTTCACTTTTTTTATGGTACAGTACGGTTATTTTATGCTGCAAAACGAATTATATGTTTTAACATGTATTTCTATGGGAAAATGCGTTTCCTATAACGGACGTTTCACTTAACGGACGTGCACCTGGAACGGATTAAGTACGTTGTACGAGGCACAACTGTATATAATCAGAAAGAACTGTAAGATGATACATCCGGCAGGCTCAATGAAAACCTGAGTTATTATAAAAAATGTTTACATATTGTATTGTGGGGAATTGCCGTATTTTGTATTTTTATTTTTTTTCATTTTGTTTTGTTTTTCTTATTTATTGTATTAATTTCGTTATGCTAATTTACTTAATTTGATTTCAACATATGTTCTAATGTAATTTAAATTTGAATATGTTATTCGAAAAGCTATTGATTCGAACGTCTTTAACCTGATGATGGCCCAAGGAATGGATTGAAAACGTTTGTTTAGCTGAATAAATGTGCTTTCTCAGTATTAAATTAATTAAGGTGTGTTGACTTTATAAAGTCAAAGAATCTGAGTTTGAATAGAAGGGATTTTTACCAAATATGGGAGTCTACGAATGCTTGTTATAAAATATTTCTTTTCTTTTCCAAAACATCTCTTTTGTACAATATACAGCTGTATCGCCAAAAATTTTTAAATTAAGTTGTGTACTTCATATGATAATTCATTAATAGATAATACTAATTAGGCATGATATTAAGTGCGCAGATCAATTATCAATTTTTCAAAATAGATCCTTTTGACTTAGACTAAAATATCTTGTGTCAGCAATTTGAATACTAAGATCTCTCGGATATCATCTATATATGAAAATAATACAATTAGCGAGCCAAGTTTAAAACCAAGATAATTAAAATTTCGCTCCTGAGACTGCTGATATGAACAAAGATTTTGTCAGCCTACTTTTCTGAGGAACTTGGAATAAATTCTATTCTAGCAAGTGCCTGGGAAATTATATTATACCAGAAGAACTTTTCAGGAGTAAACAAAAAACACTCTGTAAATCTAAAATTCAAGTAACCGGCAAAAAATCAAAAAATATGATTTGAAATCAAACGTATTATATAATTAATTTTCAGTAGAATTTTTTTAAAAGATTTAGTGTACCAATGTCGAGAATATTTAGATAAGAAGACCGTTAGATACTGTCTAGATACTTTTTGGCAGGAAAATACCAAAAGAAATACAACACATGGAGTAGTAATTATTTGGGGGGAAAACGGAAACCTGTATATATCTGAATATATACATAAACTTTAGGCGTGAGAGAAAAAATTGTAACACGGTATTTGGTATCTTCATTGACAGTAGAAATTAAACCTTAATTGAAATTTATCATATAAAAACGTCATTAAAAATACTATGGACAGATTTGACTTCTTGGTATTCAGCGTAACAAAAAAGTTAGTAGTACAGGAGTTACACTTGACGAACCGTACCACGAAATTGTTTTCGATTCAAACCCAACGTGTATGGTTTCATTACTTCTTCGTTACTAAAATTAACTAAGAATTTAACTAAAATTGAGAACTGCATTTAGAAACCTATCTTTATAGAAAAATTGCCTAATAAAAAGTTTCTGCTGATTATTCTTAATTTTCATTAGTTAACGCTTTCTCAATATTAATATCAACTGAACACAGAGTTTATAGTATTGCATGATAATGTTTGAAAGAGTGCAATAGTAACTGTCAAACAACCGGAAACTACATTTGCGTGGCAAATACCAATCCCAATTGATGAGGGTTCACTAAAAGGTTTTTGTATTAACATTTATCCCTATATCTTCCTTTATGCAACATTGTGTTTCTAAAAACTTTCAACTGTGTCTCATGCTGAATGGTAACATTTACAAATTCTATCTTGAAATGAAATCTTAATTTAGTGTTTAATTATAGAATTATAATTAAAAAATCGATTTGTTTGAATAATTTTTTTTACTTAAACGTGCTTCTTTTTTTAGAATTTACTTATAAAATTATAATATATCGTAATAATAATTATTTGATTAAATAAATATGAATACTTTAAAATAATTTCTAAATTAATCTTTTACTGAAAAATTTCTAAACAATATTTTTCAAATTGTTTATTACCTGAAATCTTTTCAATGAAACAAAAATTTCTGCCACTAAATTCACTGCTGTAGAACATAGAATAAATATTTTGTGGAATATGTAAAAGAAAAATGCCATAGTGACAAATATGATTTCGGCATTTAATTGACCTCCATTTAAAAAGAATGCAATGTATGTGAGGGAAATACATAATTTTGATATAGGATATCCCAATATTTGTAATAATTCCCTTGCACATAAAAACATCCGAACTTTTTTCATTTCGTTCCTGAAAATATAAGAAAGAATTAATTAATACTAATTTACAACTTGAAAATGATTATCTAAGAAAAATAGCTTGAAAAAATACAGTAAAAGTGCATAAATCGATATCAAGTGGAATCGAATATTTTTTATGGTGTCAAGATGTATTTACAACAAGAGTTTCTTTAAATAGAAAAAAAATTATTCTGGAAAAATTTTCCGTTTTGGTAGGGAAGCACTTTATACAGTTTCTTTCTTCATAAGTTTTACAGTATTCATCACAACTTGCTAAACTTACTTTCTGATTTTCTCTATTAATGCAGCATATGGCAATTCCCAGGTGTACATCTTGATTAATCTCATATCAGCAATCATCTCGTTCAACAGGTTTAATCTTTTGTCGCCCAATATAGCTGCTTGTAATCTATAATTATGGAATAATGATTCAAATTTACATATGCTTTGTTCTAAAATAAATAAAATTAAAAAGTAAATATATGTCAAATATTTAACGATAAATATTTATTAAACCGGAAACTTTTGTTGACTGACGATGTCCTTTGAAACAAAGAACTCTGACACTATCAATGATGTAATTACTTATTTTATAATGCTGACCAATCGCATTTTTATTTGTTTTTACAATCCATATTCAATAAAATGTAAATAAATATATTACTTAAAGTATTATGGACAAATAGTTTAGTTAACTTAATTGGGATTTTCATAATTTTTATTTTTTGAAAATCAGTGGTGTGAGATACATTTATAGATATACTATTTATATATTATACGCATGCAAAGGTAAGACCAAAAGACAAACAAACACACCAACAGATAGCAAAAGGCCGAAAAACCGCAGGGATTTCTTGGATGTGTCCAAGCACCTTTCCGCCCTATCTCAGGATATCTCGGGCATGGAGTATAAGAGCCTCACTAAAAAGAACCTTGACTTATAACTTTTCCGAAAATGTATGGATCAGTATATAGACATCGTTATCTATGATCTCTGCAAATTTCATGAATTATTTCTGCCGCGAAAATAATTTATGACGATTTATTAATTAGGTAATTAATCGCGCTATTTTTTTTATGGGGGTTTTTAATCAAATTTATTAAATCGTTCTAAACTTCTATTTCACCGATTTGACTTCGGTAAAATTTTTTAAACTCTATTGGATGTTTTTCATTACATCAGCAGGCTTTTTTTTGTTTTTTATTCAGTAGAATTTTTTCCCAAGATTTTTTTTCGGTCCTCTCGTAATTTAATAGCATTAAAATCGACAATATTGTGTTATACTTAAACAGATGCGGTAAGTTTAGCTCCCCTCTTGCTTTAGACCAATAATCCCTGAAGCTTACATGAGAACTAACTGGAAAAGCTGACTCCAGCTGTTCTCAAGGCCAAGCAGTTTGTAAACTATGTAGGCTGTACATGTCAATTTTATGCATTGTTAGATGAAAGAATAGCAATCCTTACAGCTATATTCCTCAAATAAAAGCACATATTTTAAATTATTTTTATTATTTTCTATACTTTTTTGTAAAAACACTTTTTGAAGGGTTTTTATTTTGTGAGAAAACTATTTCCCGGAAATTTTTTTTCGATGTTAGATTCGCGTTTAAGAGGAAATAATTATTTCATATAAAAAATTTATTTTTTGTAAATTTCTTAGTTGCATTTGAATCAGCACTAGGGTATCAAAAGAGTTAATCTCTGACCCTCACCATACAGCTGCCCTACTGAGGGCATGGCCAAACGTTTGCTGGGCTTGCTAAAAGAGGTACTCTTTTAAAAGCAGAGACAGTTTAAAGAAAAGACACACACATTCACAATATTAGTCGAGTCATGTACGGAAAAGTGACGTTGTAAGCAACAGTCTTCAGCTCCCATTCATGCCTGTCTTGCCGTTTTAATCTGTCCAAAGCAGTTTCAACAACAATTATATTATGCATGGGGATTTCAGGATTAAGTGATTCCAAAGCTCTCTTATTACTAATTGCTTGATTTACAAAAAACCTGTATTCACTGCTACTGCCACTTTTTATATTTGACAAATTTAATAATTCCTTAACAAAATTCGCTGCAATAACCTTATTATTATTATGTTGAATCAGAAGATTTCAAGCAGTATGAAAGTTATCTTCTGTGTTAGACAAACTATCCAATAAACTTTAGGTTCACCCTTTATTGGAAAAAAACTTAGTAATGATATTTTTGAATTTGTCTTAAGGCTTCATTATTTAAAATTAAACTTATATCCCAAAATTGAATCTATTGCCTAACATTGCCATCAAAGAATGGAATACTAATAGTGGGTAGTTTTATCAAGAGACTGTTAAAGTTAGAGTAACTTAACCCTGGAAGTGAAGGAAGTCCTGGGGACCTATTCTGAGCTTTTCCGGTAAGTCAAGGAGAGTGATACACGGGGCATTCGATAAGTTAAGGGAACTTAAACTTAACTTAGGCCAGAAACACACATGCGTAAAATTGTGTGGCAGAAAACAATCATAAATCAGCTTTCAGTTCATTTTCTGTTTTACGCTTTTTTGCCAGAACACACATACGTAAAAATTCAGGCCGAATAGGAAACACCACGGCCACCAACAGTGCTAATTTTATTAATTTTTTTCCTGTCATATAGGCTATCTATTCCTTTGTACCTTCCATTTTTTCTCCACTTCCTCTGACATAATATAGAAAATTTAAATTAATAGACTTGTACTAATTAACAAAATTGTATTCCGAATTTAAATAAAGAACGTGTGATCTAAATACTAGCCCTATATATCGATTCTACTAGACCAGTAGTTCTTAACCTTTTAGTGATGAGGGATCATTTATCAAAATTTTTGTCTTGCCATGGACCACGAGCTGTTTGGCAGTAATAAGGTTGTTCTATAAATTAAACACGTAGAAAATTATTCGGAACCAAGAGTATTATATTATTTGCGAAAAGTGTTACATTAATTATATTATTTTACTGCGATTTTTGTCACTGCATACTGTTTACCAACTGCTGAATTCTTGGTTCAGTGCTACTCAAAGGAAATGCATGTCGGCACTGACATCCAACCGATTTCGATGTTTGTTTTTAATTATCAAAAACACTGAGAATCCTTGCTCGCATAAATATGTGGTTGAAAATATAGTTAGGTACTGTAAAGCAATTTCTCGAATTTAGGAAAGCAATAGCTTTTTGGCTCCAAAAATCTTTAAGGTTATTTCCTGTCTCGAATGTATCCTTGCAGTTACTATCATATTGCATTTCAATTAACTCTTTTTCTATTTCATCCGGCACTTCAGAAATGTTGACTATGAAAGGATTGCAACTCAGTTTCCGAATACCTCTGTCCTTGCAGTCAGGAAAATAGCGATTTAATTCATTTTTCAAGCTTTGCAAATAGAATGTAATGTTTTTTGTATTTGTCCTTTAATCTCAATACACTGTCAATCAATAATTGGGTTCGATGTATCAAACGCAGAAAAATTCTCTCTTTCGACTTTGCTGATCCATAGGTCGATTTTAGCGATAAACGCACTGATTTTATTTTCAAATGCAAATTTATTGCTAGTGACTTCCAATTTCATATTTTCTGACCGCGCACCATACCCCAGCCCAGTCCGCTATCGGCTTTAACCTTGACGTACTGCGCATCGTCATCAACGCGTCGTCATTTATTTAATAATTTTGGGATAACTTCGCGGACCACTTCGAATGCTTTCAGGGACCACCAGTGGTCCACGGACCACAGGTTAAGAACCACGGTACTAGACCTATCTGTTATTTGTAATTTAACATCTGTAGCAATCCATAAACGTTGTTTAAATAGTGTCTTTATACATGAAACTGATGTGGTCGAACGGATTCAATGAACTCCTCTACTTCATTTATTTTTCGTTTTTTCCAGACTGTCACAATTGTAGGGATAACCTTCATTGCTGCCACTGTTAGAATAATAACCACGTGTCTACTTTGACGTCACAGAAAAGACTTCTTTTTATTGGAGGAATTTTGGCGTAAAAATTTTTCGGCGTAAAAGGTAGAGAGATGCTCTACTCTATTTTCAGTTCTGTTTCAGCCAAAATTTCAGAAAAATTTTTACGTTTTCTGTTTTATGCTAGATTTTAAGCCGAATTTTACGCATGTGTGTTCCTGGCCTTAGCGAAAGGCAGTTAACGAACCTTAGACAAATCGCTATTTCGCGCTTCACGGTAAGTGGGTTTCGCTACGGGTAGTCCGTCAAGCTGTGTTTCGGTTTCACGCTATCGATAGCTATTACGCTTTAACTAATCACAGTTTAGTTTAACATTGTATTTTCGTCACGTGACAGCAACCCGCCATTTTTTAAGCGAAGCACGTGGTTTTAGCATTGTCGTGTACCAGCGCTAGTGAAATAATTTTTTTATAAAATATCGAAGAAAGGACAACGAAGCCAGCGAACTACGAGTCGCCAGTTCGAGATGCTCATTAATTTTATGGAATACAACTCTAAATTAATGTCAGGGAAGTTAGACACTTTCTTTACCATAAAAGATCGCCAAAAATTGTGGCAAGTAATAGCCGACCGTCTGAATTCCGACAGAATCGGCTCACAAAGAGATCCAGAAAGATGGCGAAAAGAAACTGATATTTGTTGTATACTGGCACAATGAAGTGACCTGTTAACCAATACTTGGCAAGTTTTCAATCTTTATTTAGTTAGACTAAAAACTAACTAAATAAAAATGAAAAACTTGCTGGTTAAGAGGTCACTTCATTGTGCCAGTATACAACAATATAAATAACAACACGGTTGCTACAGCAACAAAAAACTGATATTTATATATTTATATTCAAAGTTATCATTTTAATTTATACGTATGCGAATGAAACCTCTTTCAGAAATAATGTTTACGCTATAGCTACTTACTTTAAATTTTAACAAGGAAGCAATTACATTATTCATACAATATTCATAAATTGTTAAGGTAATTATTTGTAAGCAATACAACAACATAGTTTATTAACTCTCTCTCCAATTGCTCGTGAAGTAAAATCATTCTTACACCAAAAGACACCGTGTTGTTTTTACTTTCGTTACATTCTTAACCGCTCGAGGGTGATCGATAACAAATGCTTAGTTATCGCACGTGGCTATCGGAATCGAAACCGAAACATACGGCTCGGAATAGCATTTTCACAGTTGATTAAACGCGAGTCACGTGGTTCCGATATAAACTGGTTATATTGTATTCGTTTGCTTTAGGATACTACTCAGAATAGGTCACCTGATCTGGAATCAACAAGCGTATTTAATTGTGATTCTAGAGTGGTGAATTGTTATAAATTCCTCCCAACTGTATAGTTATGTTTCTACAGATCTTCAGAGTTAATTTCGAGTTGATTTTGAATTTGATCGTATTCTTCCAAAATTTTAGGCAAAGAATTTCTGACCTGCACTTTGCGCCTTTCCGCATCGAAATTCTCCAGGAATTTTTGAATATAAAAGGGTTTTCTTTTTTGCTCTGGCTCTAATTTTGATAGCCTTTCTTTCATCAAATAATTCAGTAATGGCCATTTTACTATTCTAGTAAAGATACGAAAAAGAAATAGCAAACAATTAAGGAAAAAAGAAATGATAAGCATTGACAGAATTATCTTAACACCTAGTTGTAATTCGAAAGTCGAAAAAGCAAGATGGCGGCTATATCCGCCTCGACAGACCAAAAAATGTTTGGATGCATCTAATTACGAAGCGAACTATAAATTAACGCAACAAACACCCCCAGCAATAGCTGGTGAATTTATTTTCTTGATTCACAAAATAAAGTTGAACAAAGTAATACATAGATGTAGGGTACATCCTGAATTAACACAAAACCAAGATCAGGCACATAGGAAAAGGACATTGGCTTAACAAATGCTAACATCCATTTTTGTAAAACGGTGCAGGAAGAAAAAAGAGCCCCCTCCCGATCTCTTTCTTTTATTCAAAGAAAAAATAATAATAATAAACATCGTCTGCTGACCCGAACAGTCATGAAATTATTTATCGACAGTTGGCCATAAAAACATTACACAGTGCTATTGAAGCTGTAATAGTCATTTATATAGATTCTGTTAAAAAGTATGAATTCTCGGTAAAAAATCAATAGCAAGTCAATTTTACTAGCAAAATAATTCATAAATTAAATTTCATAGATGAAAAACCATCAGCTATAACTGGGTGGATCGAACATAGTAATTCACAAATTGTATTACATTATTTCACAAAAACAATTTTCTAAAAACTGGAACTACAATATTTAGACACCAAACTTCTTCAGTGTCAAAGATCAGATAGTATTTAAAAAAATTGTTATTGCCACATATATTTTAAAAAGCATTGTTATCTTTGCAACATTTAATAAATAAGTAACAAATATAATTTAAATAATTATTACATTAAACTATTTCCCTGTTTTAAAAAAAATTTTCGTCGAATGCATCTGTTCCGTTTGAAGCATACTTGTCATATTTTGATGGAAAAAACTGTTACACACGTTTCAAAATCTATAGTTGACACGTGAAGCTTCAGGGAAATGCCATAACCCTAAATCTATCAAATAGTCACAGGTAGACATTAAAAAGTTTTATTTTTTAAAAATAATTCTTGATATCTTTGAATACACTCTCTTCAGTTCAAATTTGTTGTTGACAATGTTTCGGAATGTGTTTATTAAGTCCAACATACTAAGATATACAGTCATAATACTATTGGAAAATAATACTTACGTAGCCATATAGCAATAAAATACATTTGAAAACAAAACTGAATCAAAATACAATAACTTGCAGACCACAGCCAATCAGTCTGTTATGAATGGGAATCTACTATACATAGTAGAAAACCGAACCAAGTATTTTCTATTTTGTCAACACAAAAAAGGTTCTTGAACAAGATGGCCCATGGCTATTTCAGAAAATAAAGTTTGAAAATTTTTCCTATCTTACACGTTATCCATAAAAAGTAAAGAAAGAAAAAAATTTTAACCCTCTTCTAATTATCGTTATTTTATCAATATTATTCAAAATTGAAATGGTTAAAATCACTCCTTCTGTTATTAGTTTGCTATTATCATAGCATAAACTTCGATTAAGCATATCAACTTCTATACATTTTTAATATCGGAATTAAATCTGCATCAATGATCATTAAGTATTGTTTGATTTGTTTTTTTTGTTTGTAGACACATTACAATTATATAATTTAAAATAATAATTACCTTAGTTTTGAATATAGTTTACTGAAAGCAATTTGTATCGGAATGAAGAGAAATATGGCCAAGAATCCGACTAAAATAGTCCACCCATAATATTTCCACAACATCGCTATTGTAACAATGATGAAAAAAGGATTTGTAAATAAATATGGAATGCTGTTTATTTTCTGTAAAAAAAGAAAATATCATATATATACATTAAGCCTTATTTAATTAAATTATAATGAATGTCAGTTTCAATATGATTCATTCAAAAATCATAAAATATGTAAAAAAGTTTGTCTGATCTACTTTTTTTTACTTTTGGTTAATCTGGCTCCTAATGGATATGTACTGTACATTGTTTTGATATTCTTTTTACTGTAATATATGGTTTTCTTTTCTTTACATAATAATATCTTTAAATGCCTTCCTTAATGTGTGTTGACAAGGTAGTGTTTTGTAATATCAGTGAAATGCCAGGTGTGACAAATCACAAACCAAATCCTATGCAACAAAATGGTTCTACAAAATGTACATACAGTAGAGCGTCAATTATCTGAAAGAATTCCAGTTGTCAAATTTAAATTTTCGTTTGTGCTGTAGCGCTGCAATCTTTGGCTATGTCTTGCACTAATCAAATATTTTACGGTTTTGATACTTAATTAACTTCTGAAGTATAATTTCTAATTGTTTTTATATTTTTCAATATATTTATTTTGTTTGTACAAAATAAAAACATAATTTTTAACGATACAATAGTCTTTGTTTAGCTTAACATCGACGAAAATTCAACGCAAAGCGAGACGCGACGGAGAGAAAGTTCCACATGGGACAGGTTAATATATTTTTTCGTACATAATCGGTTATCCGTAATATGAAATTTCCGAACAACCACGTTCCCCAATTGGTTCGGATAATCGACGCTTTACTGTATATATATATATATATACAGTAGATCTCCCTATAAGACGGTAGATACGTTCCGTTCGTTATAAATCAATTTTGTAGGAATCATAGTTTATGGACTGCGGCTGTTTGAAAGGTTTTCTTTCATAAAATTAATCGATTCTAGACTAATTCGACTCAACGTTTCCAAAATACGTATATTTTTTCGAAAATAATCCGTATAAACTACGTTATAAACAAAAAATTGTAGGATTGCTTACCGAGTGTGTACCGTTCGACTACGCCTGTTGCTAAAGCTTGGTTTTGTCGCGGAACAGCGCATCAAACCGCGGCCGCAATTTCTGATATTATTTTTCTGCGAAAACTTCGTTGACCTTTGGAGACATCCTTAATATAAATAATTTTTATGGCCGTTAAATAAGAAATGTTTCTTTCACAAGAAATGTATAAAATTACAGTACTGGACAGACGATAGGTCGCCTAACTCGCCGTAGCGTGACGCTAGACGGCGAAAAATATATATTTAATTATAATAAAGTTACAATAAATTAAGTTAATATATAATTATATATACAGTACCTAATTTATATATAATTAATATATAATTATATGTACAGTACCTAATTTATATATAATTATATGAACAGACGATACTAAACTCAATTTATCCGCCTAAACGTCCGTAGCGTGGCGCTACGGACGGCGGGAAAGTAGTTCGGCTGCCCGATGACGTTTTACGTATTATAGGAGTTATTTTTACCGTTGTTTACGGATACTGCCACAATTTTTATAGGAATCATAACTATAGGAAACGGTTTTATAGGGGGATCTACTGTATATATATACTGCAAAATGATATAACACATATATATATATATGTCGTATTATTTTGCATTCAAGTCATAAGGTCGAGTGTACATTGAACAAGAAAAAGAAAATTGGAGACAATAAAATAACACATTCGTTCACTTTCGGGTCCTCACTCGAACTCTCCTTATTTTATTGGTGTTGTTAACCTTATTCCAAAAGAGACGAGATTAACAAAGTAAATTACAGAAAAATATATACAAAGTTTACAAAAATTTTAAATATTATATATATATACATGTATATATTTATATATTGAAAAAAAAACAACTATGTATATATATATATATTATACAATAGTCTATATACAAGGTATTTACAATTATAGTTCTACTTTGAAGTAGCCATAAAATTAAAACTACCGGACTGAATGTTATCAAACTTTGTAATAGTGTACAGGACATCACGGGATTTTATTTCCGAAAGAAAAAATAGTTTAATAATTCATCATCAGCGCGAAATGAAGAAACCGTTTAAAATATTTATAATTATGAACACAAACACTCAAAGTAAATTTTGTCAAAATAATTTATATATATATATATAATTTATCAGTGGCGTGCCGTGACATTTGATGATATAGAAGCTGTGTTTCTATAAGAAGCCGACTTCCAGGGGCAATCAGTCAGCAATGGTNGTTAAGAAACAGTGTTTATTTTACTCGTCTATCTTATCAAAAGATACTCTTTTATTTTTAGAAATTATATATATATATATTTTATTTGTGAACGTTATTGTTGTTACATATGATTTTTCTGATTTTTGATGTTAGGTATCTCTCTTTTTAAAAAACCTCTATGTCACATTGTTTACAACCACTGTAATCACAATAACAGATTTTACAAGTTACCATTAAATGATTTAGCTAAATTTTAAAAAACAATACAGTACATACATACATAATGGCCATTTTCATTATTTTTTTACATTTATCCACAGTCTTACAATTCTCACCTTCATACGCCACTCTTAATGCACTTTATATTTTATGTCATGCCCTCTTTTACATTATACCGTTGCTCAGCAATTTCATGCCATTCGATAAACTCACTAAATTATTTTTACTATTTTTTATTATTTTAATATGTTTTTTAAATTTGCAGTTTATATTTTACTTTTTCACAATGAAATATTTTTGTTATTTCTGTCAATCCTGCAATTACTATTATTTGTGTGATCAAACCAAGGGAAATTGTTGTATTTTAATTTTATACTGGCTTCATGTTCTTTAATTCTCAATTCTAATTGCCTACCTGTTTCACCTATATGATTTTTTGAGTTTAAAAAATTACAACATATTTTATATACTACCCCAGATTTTTTAAATTTGTCTACGTTATTTGTATGTTTTATATTTTCAAAATAGATGTTTTGTGAGATTTTATTAGTTAAAGATGAAGCCAAAATTATATTATCTTCCTTTAAAAGTTTACTACAATTATTGTGTATCATTAACACGCCTTGACGTCCGTTCCCGAGTTAACTCGGAAAAGTTGCATAGCGTTACATAAAACCCAGTCCTTAAGGCCACTTTTGACAATTTATTTTTTTTAATTTTTGTAATGTTTTCTGGGTCTCCAAATTTTATGACGATTTCAATTAGCCTTTGATAAGGCTGGATTAAGGCTTAATTGTTTTTAATTGGATTTTTTATCAAATTTAATTAATCGTTCTAAAGTTGTAGTGCACGGATTTTCCTTCAGTAAAGTTATTTAAGGCTATTTTCTAATGTCAAAAACGACCTCCGATAGTTTTCTAATTTTTTTAATTAATATATTTTATTATATAAAAATTCAATTAATTAGGGGGGGGTCGAAAATCGCAATAAAATTTATAATTTCTTAAAAAAATTTAAAAATATACGGCCAGCTAGTATTCACCCTACCTTAAACTCTTGTCCTCCCGAGATGTCTATGAGAATGCCTCAGGAAATACAACCCCAGCTGTGTTCAAGGTCATCCAGCTGTGTAAACAATGATTCATGGGCGTCATATTTCACAAAAAGGCAAGAAAAAGGAAAATACAATTTTAAGCTTTTTCTTCAAAATGAACGCATTTCTTTTGTTTTTTCAGTTTTAAGTATTTTTTATGTTTAATTAAAAATTCCTTTAAAACACTCATATGCTAAGTGGTTAATATAAGAAAGGACTTATAAGTATTATTAATTTTATATTTAGTATTAAATCTATTTTTATAATACTGTTTATGCCATTTGTTTAATTTATACATTGAATATTTATTCAATATATTTTTTTCATCTAACCTTTCTGATTCTGTTTTACAATCATTATTATCAGAAGTTCTGGTAAATATATATATTTTTCCATATTTCGAAACCGTGTTGTATCTTTATATCTGTTTAAAAACTGCAATGTAGCACAGTAATCAACACATGGCATAACTCATTCATTTATTCAAGCTTTTGTTGAATAAAAGCTTTTGTTCAACAAAAGCTTGAATAAATGAATGAGTTATGCCATGTGTTGATTACTGTGCTACATTGCAGTTTTTAAACAGATATAAAGATACAACACGGTTTCGAAATATGGAAGAATATTGTGAGAATCAACAAAAGCTGGAATAAATGAATGAGTCATGCCATGTGTTGATTACTGTGCTACATTGCAGTTTTTTAAACAGATATAAAGATACAACACGGTTTCGAAATATGGAAGAATATTGTGAGAATCAACAAAAGCTGGAATAAATGAATGAGTCATGCCATGTGTTGATTACTGTGCTACATTGCAGTTTTTTAAACAGATATAAAGATACAACACGGTTTCGAAATATGGAAGAATATTGTGAGAATCAACAAAAGCTGGAATAAATGAATGAGTCATGCCATGTGTTGATTACTGTGCTACATTGCAGTTTTTTAAACAGATATAAAGATACAACACGGTTTCGAAATATGGAAGAATATTGTGAGAATCAACAAAAGCTGGAATAAATGAATGAGTCATGCCATGTGTTGATTACTGTGCTACATTGCAGTTTTTTAAACAGATATAAAGATACAACACGGTTTCGAAATATGGAAGAATATTGTGAGAATCAACAAAAGCTGGAATAAATGAATGAGTCATGCCATGTGTTGATTACTGTGCTACATTGCAGTTTTTTAAACAGATATAAAGATACAACACGGTTTCGAAATATGGAAGAATATTGTGAGAATCAACAAAAGCTGGAATAAATGAATGAGTCATGCCATGTGTTGATTACTGTGCTACATTGCAGTTTTTTAAACAGATATAAAGATACAACACGGTTTCGAAATATGGAAGAATATTGTGAGAATCAACAAAAGCTGGAATAAATGAATGAGTCATGCCATGTGTTGATTACTGTGCTACATTGCAGTTTTTTAAACAGATATAAAGATACAACACGGTTTCGAAATATGGAA